GAGGGCAGGGCGGAGCAGTGGCCGTCCCACCTGTACAGAGCTCAACCTGTTCCCCCAAACACACTTCCCACCTGCTTGTTTTGAGCCGGTCAACCCTTCCTCTGGTGTCATGCAGAAATAAAGCTGGAAGTGCAATCCTGGAAGCAGTTTGGGACATTACTAAAGAGGGAACTCTTTGCTAAGGTATAATTGTCCTTGTTTTCTTCTGCCTATGTGGAATAACGTGAAATAATTTTCCTCTTCTCTATCTGGGCTGCCCCAGAGTGTTAATTTGTCAGAGTAGTTTTGTCTTGAAACATTTTTGTTTCCAGACAAGTCTTTGCCTTTTAAAATTGCCTTTTGCTGGGGTTTGTACAACTCCCTGTTTTCCTTGGACAGATGCAGGTGTGAAGAGCCTTATCCCAGCACCTCCTGGGCAGGATGCATTCCATGTGTTTTCTCCTAGTTTTGTGTGTTTCCAGGTGTTTTTTTCTTCTAGATTTGTGCCTTTTTAGCACTGTTGATGTGTTCACTTGCTTTGCCTTTGATCCTTGGATGACTGAGAAGACTGAAGGTGATGGGGTGAGAAGGGTGAGGTTTCAGGGAGGAGAGACCTTGAGAGCTTCATGAGCCTGAGGGCAGGTTTTGAGGAGGAGTGTGCACTGAACATGGTTTGCTTAGAGGCTGGGGGAAGTTGTCATTAGACAATGCATTTGTAGTGCAAGTGGCACAGGAACACGATGTTCATTGCTATGGATGGAGCACACTTTGGGCACCAAACTGTTGTAAAATCCCTGTCTAGTTAAATGGGGAAGGCATTGCTGCACGGGTGGGCCTTAATTATTTGTCTGGGATAATGAGTACCTGGAAAGGAGTGTCTTGTGCCCAGGGCATGTAGAGCTGAACCATAAAGAATGAAGAAGAGAGAGAGAGATCTGTGAGAATGAGCACATGCAGAGCAGGCCACAGAGGAAAAGAATAAAACCAACCTGTTGCCTACATTATATTTTCTGTAAGTGAAACAGGACAGAAACTGGGGTTTGGGTGTAAAATGGAATGAAGCAAGGTGTTTGTGCTTTTTTTTTTTTTTTGTGCTAGCTGTGTTTCTAATACTTTGTTTTCCTGATATCCAGTTGGACAAACTGTTTTTAGCAGAGTGTGTGTGCTTTTTGGCTTTTTGCTTGTATGTTTGGCTTGGTTTTGTTTGTTTGGGTTTGGTGTTTTTTTAACCAGGCACTGGGATTTTTTTTTTTGAGTTATCATGACACCTTTTCATGATAACTCCTCTGGACTCTTTGCTACACTGTCACTTACAAACAGTCGTCTTTTTTAATTAATTTTTCCAGTTCAAGGCAGGGGTTACAGTGTTGATGTGTTTACATGTTAAATTCTCCATCTCAGAGAGGGAAGCCTACGGAGACTGAATTTGGAGTAAGTAAGATCAAGTGATCCTTTGATGGTGTTTTGTTAAGAGCTAATGAACCAAACCCCTTCCTTTTTCCACACTTTTGTGGCTGCTGAGCTCCTTTTCCATGTGCAGTGATGGCATATTAATGCTCTTCAGATTAGAGTGGGGAACCACTTCTTTTCCTGTGGATTTGTAGTGTGTTTTTCAAATGAAATACTAGCAAATGAATCAAAGTGTTTTGCAGTGTTTACAATGGAAGATCACACACTTAAAAGTGTCTTCCTGGTGAAATTTCAGACCTAAATATTGTGTATCTTTTTGTCTTTGTAGTGATGAAGCAACAGTTCTCTCAGGGACAAAGCTTGCCAACCAAGTGTTGCAGGAAGTTGAAAGGGATGTAGACTCGTGGATATCTGCTGGGAACAAGAGACCTCATCTCACTGTTGTATTAGTAGGAGACAATCCAGCCAGTCATATCTATGTCAGGAAGAAGATAAAAGCAGCTGCAGCTGTGGGTATGTCATAAAAGTGATCCTTTGGTAAGCACAAGATACTGTTACTTAAAAATAAAAGAATAAAGCAGGAGGAATCCCCTGTTTTGTCTTAATTCAATCTTGCACCATTTTCTTCCTCATCTCCTCTGCTGAACCTAAAGAAAAGAAATTGCCTGGACATAGGAAGAAAGTAGTTTTAATGTCACTTGAGTGGGAGCCCTAAGTTTAATTCTGTATTGAAATGTTGTTAGGAAAGAGTTTTTCAGCCTCAGACAGGTTTTTAGACTAAATGACCAAGCTGCCCTTAGATTCCTTTCCTGATGCTAACGTGTCTCCTGTTTTTTGTTTCCCTCAGGCATTTCTAGTGAGATCATTGTGAGGCCTAAAGACATTTCTGAGGAAGAGCTCTTAGATCTGACAGTGCAACTCAACAAGGATTCCAGAGTTAGTGGTTTGTTAGTTCAGCTTCCTCTGCCAGGTGGGTGCCACCTTTGGTCCCATTTCTCCTCTACAGTCTGTGTGAGAGGAAAGAGTGTGAGGC